CATGTATTGTGTATAGCATGTCACAGCATTGGTACAAATTCAGCTTTGCTTATTGGGTACATTCACCAATTGCATGACCTTGGGCTAGACCTCAGTTTCCACATCTGTTATCTTGTGGAAATGATAGATTTTTGTGGGTGGTACATTAAATTAAAGGGGTAAGATTGACCTAGGTGGGTATGAAGTGGATATAATAGGGCATCAGTAAATGTTGCTGTTAGGTAAATAAATAGATAGATGATGGATAGGCAGATATCCTTCAAAATTCAGAGCAACTCCATAACATAAGGATTATCCTGATAAGAGAGGATATGCTCCGCCTTGGAGTGATCTCTGTTCGACAGGGTAGGATCTGGCAGCTACGTGACATCCGGGTGGGCCGGGCAGTGAAGGGCTCAGCAGTGGGGCCCTTGTCATTCCTTCTGCCTGCCAGCAGGGGTTGCAACATGGACTCACCAGGAGCCCCAGCACAAGTGGGCACTCATTGTCTCTCTTATGTCTCTGGCAGCCTTGGAGCATGGCAAGTCCCAAGCACCCTGGGAGCCCTGGCTGGACAGGACCCATGGCCCAGTACACGGCAAGGACCCAGCAGGAGGCACCAATTGCTGACCCTGACCTCCCACATCCAGGACCTGAAGGGCACTTAGGTGGGTTTGGGCTTGAGGCTCGGTCGGGAGAAGAGAGGTGTGAAGACATTCAAAGTCCTAATGTGGGTCACCTCAGTAACTGCCACAAGAGAAGTGGGCAGCTCATCTAACTTGGGTCATTCCGAAGGAGACAAGGATTTGGTGCAAGGTGTTTATCTGGGAGATGGTCCTAGGGCATCAGTGAACAGATGGCGACTGAGAAAACCGGGGCTCGATCCCAGTGGGGGCCTCTGGGAGGCTGTATGGAATCTCAGAGTCACCCTACGCTGGGGCAGGGAAGCCAGGCCTGCCCTGTACGTAATGAAGGCTGCTCTTAGGCATGCTGCTCTGGCCCAAGAAAGTCCTTAGGGTGAGAGTCACAGTTTGCTTCCAGGGGCATGTTCCAGAACTGTGAGTGCCAGGAGGGCCTGGCCTGGCTCTGGGCACTGACGGCATCTGCACTAGCACCATCTCCTGTAGCAGATCTCTTCTTATAATCCTGCAAGAGGTGCCCATTGAAGGTCTGGTCTGTTCCTGGCCCTGTGCAGGGCACTGGGGAAACAGGAACAAACCAGGTACTGTACTGGCCCTCACGTGTTGTAGGAAAACAGACCAGTGAAAAATAATTGGGCGTGCCATAAGAAAGACTATAGAACAAGGTGGGAGGCTCTTACTCTAATGCCAAGGGGCAGATGGAGAGACGTGGGGGCTGGGTCTTAGAGAACACACTGGAGAAGGACCCCTGGGATTCATAACTTTTGCACTAAAATGCACGGTTATTTGTGAAATTTTGGTAGGGAAGGATGTAAGCTTTTTCAAGCTTCTCCGAGGGGTGCAGGGCTCAAATGAGGTTTAAAAAATACTGTGTTCATTTTCCAGGCAGGGGAGTAGTAGGAAAGGCAGAGTTGTGGCATGTTCAGAAGACTATGGCCTGTTGAAGGTGGAAAGATGGTTAGGAGGGGTCGTTCTAGCTGAGGCTGGAACGCAATACCCTCCCAGCTCCGGCCCCCATCCAGATGTGAGCTCAAGGTCCCTGTGACAGCCATAGAGCCAGTGCTTCAGGGAGTGCAGAAAGAGAGGAACCACAGGCTCCCCCAGTCAGGAGCACAGGATTGCACCATGGCCAGTCTGCAGGCCGGAAGTGGAAAATACAGTATGCCCACACCGCATCTCACAGCCGAAAAGCCACAAGGGGAAGATGGGCTGTTTGGGGTTGTCAGTGGGAAGGTGGGGACAGCCAGGCTGGGCACAGATGCCCCAACTGGGCCTGTCAGTACGGGGTGGGGGATATTCAGCACTCCTCTGGAATTCCGAAGTCTCGTCCCAGACAGCCCAGGTCGTCCCCTCAAGCCCTTGCCTCTAAGGTGCACTGACCGGTGGCCTTCAAATGCACTGTCCTTGCAGATGCCCTTGGTAGCCAGGGCTCCAACTCTGGCATGACCACGCGGGAGCTGCAGGAGTACTGGCGGAATGAGAAGTGCCACTGGAAGCCTGTCAAGCTGCTCTTCGAGGTCGCTTCTGCCCGCATTGAGGAGGGGAAGATCTCTAAGTTTGTGGTAAGTGGAGAGTGGAGATGACGGATCCCTTTCACCTCCTCCTTCCTGGTCCTAGGCAAGCCTCACGGAGTCTCAACTTTCCCAACCATGAAATGGGTTGACACAGTCTAGCTCAGAGTTCTAAAGAAAAGATGGCCAAAGAACAAGACTGGGCTGGGCACCATGCTCAGTCCCGTGAGGATTAGAGCCATCCAAGTCGTGTTTCTTGATCCTAAGAAGGAAACAGCCTCGTTTAATCCCATGTTACAGATGGCAATTGTCTGTGTCTTTTCTTCAACTTTGCCACATCTCTGTATCATTTGTAATTATTACTTATTTTTTATTTTAATTGGGTCACTTTTTAAAAACACTAAATACATTTATTTCAAAGAGAGATACCCTCAAAAGAAAGCTAATATCACATGGCATAAAGAATAAAAGTCAACACAAGGGAAGTCGATTGCTGTGATTGCGTTCCAGCTGGTGGCCTGGCTGGTGCAAGGCCCTGGGCTGGGGCTGCTCTCCACAAGACTGGAATTTGAGCCCATTCTAAGGTGACATTAGAGACCATGTAAGATCTTGATCTTTCTCTTTCACTAAACTGGGACTGGAATAATCACAATAGCCACATGTTGGCCCCAGTTCCATGTGGTTTCGGGGCATTAACTCACTTAATCCTCACCCATCGAGGTAGGTACTATGCCTGTCCTTGTTTCATGGGCTAGAAAACAGAAGCTCAGCCGGGCTCGGTGGCTCGGGGCTCCCGCACCTTGGGAGGCTGAGGTGAGTGGATTACCTGAGCCCACGGGTTCAAGACCCGCCTGGGCAACTTGGTGAGACCTCATCTCTACAATA